TTAAAAGATTATAGATTAACCTGCCATTCATAATATATATATATATATATATATATATCATCAAGGTGTCTCAGAATCAACATTAATGTATTTATCCATCAAGGACAATATAAAAATCCAATTATTACAGCATATATTTCAACAGATATTTACAATGAGATAAATACATCACATAACAATACATTATTTCCCTTTGCTTGTCACTGCCAAGGGAAATCCTAAATTTCAATGCATTGCAGATAGATATTCTATCTGCAAAAACCAAGGAAAAAAAAACAAAAAAAGGATATGTTTTTCCAACTCAATAGCTGGCTTAATCATAAAATAGTAAAAAGAAGGCAGACAAGTAAAAATATTCATGCCCCTATATAAAAACAGGCAAACATACTTATATACATACAAAGCATCAAATAATAAGCTTGCATATTATCTCGATTTAAAATATGTGAGATTCATATATTAGAGGATACCAAATATATCGAGCATCAACAAATATTATCATATCAGGGTTAACAAAAACGGGGTAAGAATCTCAAATAATCTGAAATTTTAGTCTGAATAGGGAAAAATTCCGGTTCATCCAACTTATGGAATCAGTGCAAGTAGTTTTTGGTTGAAGGAGTAAGATTCTACATTTACTAATAAACTCAATTCAAATCAAATCTCATCAATTTATTTCATTCAATTCAAATTAAATGAAATAAATTTATTTTGACTTGGGCATATTGTATAAAAAATGATTTTAATTTATTAGAACTAAATGAAAATATGACACTAAATAGGACGCAATGGAGAAAAAGGATTCATGTAGCCGACCCCACATAGTGGGAAGGCTTTGTTGTTGTTGTTGTTGTTGTTGTAATTCATGCTCACCATGCTCATCACATCTTTCAAGATATTGGTTTCAAATTTATCCATTGGCAGTGTTCAAACCTTATTAATAAGACTTTCAAGATTTCATAGGCTTTCAAAAAAAAAAAAATAATAGCTTGAAGAGCCTTCAAAGAATCTCATTGTAAAAATTTTCCTTTTAACCTTTTATTTATAAGGTTTTGGTGCTGTACAAAACAAAAAACTTTGATTTCATAAAAAATAAATATATAATACATGATGAAACTTTTATAGACACTTGAAAATACTCATGCTCACGTGAACAACTACTTTAAATTATTATTGGTTCAATAAAGTTGCAATTCCTCTATATAAAGCCACAACTTCCTAATAAAATTGTGCTCTTTTTTTGAACATTAACGAGTAAAGCATGACTTTGAGCAAGAGTAATCCCTAAGCTTGGATGAAAAGACATAGTGATTGGGTTGGTATGCCTAGGAATTAAGTGAATAAGCCTAACAAGTTAGTGTGTGCTCCTCTAAGTTTACCGCAGATTTAGCAATTTCCTCAAGCTCCTGGAGAGTGCATTATCCTTGCCTCACTTCTCATGCAGACTAGCCAAGGGCCGGTTTGACCGTAGCCGAGTCCTCGACACAGTTGGGCATACATATTCTAAGCATGAAAAGAAAATTAATTCTAAGCACAAAATAATTGTGAACCACTGGTAAGACCAAAATTTTGTGGAATTGAGTACTATAAGCCATATATATAGCTGCAAAAAAAAAAAAAACTTATATTAACCAAGACAATACTATAGAAGAGACTATGACCTCCATTGCAGATACACGTTATAAGTGGGTATAAGGATGAGCCATTTCTTACTAATCACGGATTGCATCCCGGCTACTGGTATGACTATAATAAAGATCAACCAAGAATTATTGGTATCAAAAATAGAAATCTAGGTACCGATCAACAAAAGAAGCATGGAAAAACTGTTCAACAACTTAGCCGATGAAAAATTTTATTAGCAGCATAAATAAAATCTAGCTCATGATACAATTTGAAACCAAAAACCAGTTTACAAAATTGATCTTCAAAACAAAATCTCAATTTGTAATAAATAACAATATGTACAAACAAAAGGGACCCACAATCACATTTTCAAGAAAATATCACATACCACATCAGTGCTCGAATATATCAGAAAGACGATGCCCAAATTTGCAATGTAAAGAATACCAAATAAAATCTGCAATGACATAAAAAAAAACAATAGTAAACTTCAGAAAAAAGAAATCAATAATTCTAATCAGAGAAACAAAAAAAATTGCATTGGATTATTGATGTCAAAGTTGGATGCAACACATCAAAGAAATAAATACAAATCATGAGAATTTTATCCTACTCTGATAAACTATCAGCAAAATCCATTTGCATGGTATTTTTTTCAATTGAAAAAAAAGCAATCCTAAAAATTCAAAATACAGTTTAGCCAATTATCAACGTTTAAAAAAGCACTCGAGGCGTCCGCCTAGAGGTGCTCCTCGATTCGAGGCGCTGCTTCAGCAACTTAGAGTGTGAGCCTCGCCAGTTTGGGCAAGGCTTATATCTTTTTGCAATGAGTACGCACCTCAAGATGGTTAAAGCATCGCAAATTAAAATTATATATAAATATTTATAACCTTCATGTAGCAGCCATATCACAGATTTAGGGTTGGACATCGTTTCGAGAGCTTTCTATCTTCTTCCACTTCCTTCGACAGTGTGAGCGTCTAAATCCTTCGTCCTGAGGCTTCGAGCGTCAAAGTCAAGCCCCCTGTATCAAAGTCCGGCATCAAAGTCTAGGGAAGCGGCGAAGTCCATCAAAGCAGCAAAGTCCAGCGAACCTCTTCTCTTCTGCAACAACATTCTCTTCTCCTCTGCGGTTTTGTCGTTCCGTCGATTTTTCAGAGTTCCCAAAAGCCCTATTTTTTCTTTCATGTGAATTTGAGCGTTCAATTTTAATATTTTTTTGGCATTTACATACATAGCAATCGAGATATTGTTATTTAGTATTTAGAGCATTACATACATAGCAATCAAGACATTCCTATTTACAAAACAAGCATACTATTTCTTCCATTTTTCAAATTCTCGCTCAAATATCGAAGTTTGTGTGGGATTATGATTTTATTAAGTTTGAACTTTGATGCATGTTGGTTTCCTTTTTGTGGTGTGAATCAATTTTTTTCTAAAATTTGTTGGTAATTTCAAATTTTGACAACCTTTAATTATCAATTGGCTTTTGGAATCAGTAAAATGTATGTTTTGAAGGTAAGGTTATATTTTCAATTTCATCAAATTCTCAATGATTGATGAATTGTATTATTTTATTTGCCAAATCATTTTGATTTTGCATTAAAAATGTATTTTCTCTGTTTAATCATTAATGTGAAAGTTAGAAGGCAGTGTTATCGATACATTTTTAATTTAAATGATTGTGTTGCATTGATTTACTTCACTTACAATATGAACAGTCTTTTTGGTTTAAATTATCGCTTTGTTTGAGGAAACATTTGCTTATGTCTTTTAGAATGGGTGGTTGCGCAAGAAGATAAGATCCAGCTTGGAAATATGAAACGCAAGCTGAAGTGTCAGAAGAAGATGCAAAGAATGGATATATTTATTTCAAATGTAAATTTTGTGACAAGCGAATTACAGTGGTGTTAAAAGACTTAAAGATTACATGACTTGCACACTTGTAAATATTGAAGCATGTGAGAAAGTGATGAAGAAAAAAAGCAACGCCTTAAATTTTTTAAAAAATACAACACCTCAAAAGAAACAACGTAGAGAAATATAGAAGAGATGATGAGAAATAATTCATATTTTAGCTCACAATATGATGTTTCCAGCAGTGGAAGTCATTTTCCTTATTCTGATGGAGGAACTAAAGGTCAATAGATAGATTTATTGTGAATGTAGATGAGGTTGAGATTATCAACTCTCAAACAATTCCTCCTCCAGCATCAGCAAAAGAACATAAAAATAGAGTATGTTTAGATGTTGCAAGACGTTTTTAGGTGAATGGAATCCCATTTAATGTGATTAGAAATCATTCATGGATCAATATGCTTCGTTCTATTGGAAAATTTTGGGCGAGGGCTACATCTTCCTATCATGTATGAGTGTGAATTTAGATGTTGGATGAGGAGGTTAGAACTACAATAATAATGGTAGATGAAGTGAGAAAATGAATGGGTTGAGACAAGTGTTACTATAGTGTCAGATGGTTGGCCTGATATTAAAGAAGTATTATAACTTTTCATATTAACGAAGGTTATGGAACGATATTTTTTAAATATGTTAATGCATTGGCCTTTGTTGAATGGGTTGAGACAAGTGTTACTATAGTGTCAGATGGTTGGTCTAATATTAAAGAAGTAGTATAACTTTTCATATTAACAAAGGTTATGGAACGATATTTTTTAAATATGTTGATGCATTGGCCTTTGTAAAAAAATGCACAATTGCTATTTAACATGCTTAATGAGGTTGTTGAAGAAATTGGGGAAAGTATAATTGTTCAAATTTTACAGATAATGCAAGTGCCTACAAAGCTGTTGAAATGATATTAATGAAGAAAAAAACATATTTATTGGACTCATTGTGCTGCTCATGTCTTGATTTAATGATGAAAAATTTGGAATAATTGTCGCCACATTAATCTGCTTTGCTTAAAGGAAAGAAGGTAAGTAAATTTATTTACAATCATTCTTGGATATTAAGCTTGATGAGAAAATTCATAGATAAAAACTTACCCCACCAGCGATTACAAGATTTACCACAACTTATTTGACTTTGCAAAGATTTAAAGAGATGTGGCAACCTATGGAGGATACGTTTGCTTCTGAAGAATAGGACAAAAGTTATTGGGCCAAAAAATCAGAAGAAAAACAAATGAAGAGGATTATTATGAGAGATGATTTGTTTTGGTGTAGTGCTAGTTATGCTCTGAATATTACAACGTCTTTAGTGAAATTATTATGAATGGTTGATGGTAAGAGGACTCTTGTTATGGGGTTTATTTATGAAGCTATAAAAAGGAGAAAATAGCAAAAAATTTTGAAGGACAAAAACAAACAATGAAATACGGGAAATCATTGATGACAAATGAGATTGCCGGCTCCATCAATATTTACATGTTGCAGCATATATTTGAATTCTCAACTTCATTATGACAATGAATTTCATGTTGATAAAAGGTTCAGACCAATTTATATGCATGCATGGATAGAATTATTCTTGAGTTTGACTAGTCAATGATCAACTTGAAGATTTTTATTTGAATAATGGAATGTCTCAAGCCTGCTACAATACACGATCACTAGGTAAGTTTCATTTATTAAAAATTTTAAATATATGAGTTTATCATTTACATATAAAGTTATATCCTAAAACATATTGCTACTTTTATTTAATAATTTAATCTTATGCTAGAATGTTGGTGAGCACAATTCATAGATAACATGCCTGAACTCAAAAGTATTTGTTGTAAAAGTTCTTAGTCTTGTTCAAATTGCACATGTGAGCTTAATTGAAGTATATTCAACCAAATGCATACAAACAGAAGAAATTGGTTGGCTATAGGTCAAATGAACAAGTTAGTTTATGTTATGTTCAATAAAAAATTGAAAGATAGACGCTTGAAGCTGCAACACAGAAATTGTGGCAATGAGATAGAACATTTGATTGTTTATGATGTTATATTTGATGATGAATGGATAACACCAAAGAAATCTCAAGGATTAAAAGTTGAAGATGAAGACTAGACTTCATAATAATGATTATAATGAAGATATCAATGCTAAACATTGAAAGGGGTCAAAGAGATATTGAAGTTGGAACAACTTGTAATTCACAACATTTAAAAGAAGGGGGGCTGGAGCTTCAAGAAAATATAAAGATAATTTTGTAATTAAAGCATAATTGATTATTTAGTTATGCTACTAATTATATTGAATTCAATGTTAATTGACGTAGAAGTAAATGATAGATGTCGTAATTGAAGAAGAATGTGAAGATAATGATAGAGTTGTTACATATGATGATTCTTCCAAAATGATGAAAATGATAATAATACCGCTATGAATCCTGATTCTTATGGCATATTTAAATTCTAAATTTAAAGTTCAAATCTAATTTCAAACTTTTATAGAATTGCTTTATATTTGGGATTGGAGAATACTATATAAATGTATATCAAGTGACCTAATGAAGTCTAATTGCCTATTTAAATTCTAAGTTTAATTATCAAGATTTGTGGTTTGTCTAAGGGATATTTGCTTTTCGCTAATGACAACTTTCTTGTGGATAAGACTAGAGAAAGAGTTCTAGAAAAACTTGAATTATAGAAGTCAACTTTAGAGTATAAAGCCTTGTGGATAAGACTAGAGAAAGAGTTCTAGAAAAACATGAATTATAGAAGTCAACTTTAGAGTATAAAGCCTTTATTTAAGTACATCTAAAACTAAATTCTTGGAATGTAAATTTAGTAGTAGTAGATTTAGTGGTGGAGTTATAAAAATGGGTGATCAAATCATTAAAATGATTGAACGTTTTAGATATATCATATCTATTGTTCAAAGTGAAGGTGATACAGATGGGGATGCTATTCGTAGAATTCAAGTTGGATGGTAGAAGTAGGGAATGCATCGGGCCTATTGTGTGATAGAAAATTTTATTAGATGGTGGTGAGACCTGCAATGGCCTATAAAAGAGAAGCATAAAACTAAGTTAAGCGTTGCTGATATGAGAATTTTTAGGTGGATGAGTGGCATTACACTTAGAGACAAAATGAAAAATAAATATATTCGTGAAAGCGTTGGTGCAGCTCCAGTGGCAGACAAGATTTTGCTCACATTAAACGTGAACCAATTGATGATCCTGTTAAGAGATGAGTATATGTTTATATTTGACAAGTCGCCTTAGATTATGTTAAGAAATGTAGAGGTAGACCTAAAAAAACTTGGGCAACCAGTATAAGAAAATGCTCATAATTTATTAGACTTAAATGAAAATATGACACTCAATAGAACACAGTGGAGAAAAAGGATTCATGTAGCCGACCCCATTTAGTAGGTTAAAAGCTTGTTGTTGTTGTTGAGGCTTATGCCTCGATCCACCTCAAGGCTTACACCTCGATTCCTGATTTTTCCTTCAACCTTGCCTATTATCAATAAATACTATGCTTTGTGCGACAAAAGAGAATCCCCCGCGAAGCAGCGCACAATTACCTAGTCTGATGTATCATCTCTCCATGGATAATTAAATTATAAATTATCTAAAACTATTTTTATGTCTTTCTTTTAATACGTGAAACTCCGACCATTTATCTTAGATAATTAAATTTCTCACTATATCCATCCTAGTTTTATCGCACATCCAACTTAGCATTCTCTATCTATAACCATGTCTCTACTTATATAAGACCTATTTAAACTAATTTGTCAGAAATAAAATAATATAACCCATGGAATTATAGTACATCAGCAGAAAAAAAAATTTTCTTTTCAAACTAAATGTTGCATGGTACATGATCATTAAACTCCCAAGCAATTAAAACTGTTTAATCCAAAAGCTCCCCACATTGCAGAAAATAAACATCACAAGTTAATTTGGCTAAATAAAACAATGTACCCAGTGAAAATGATAATACATTATGCAGAAGTTCGTTTATTTCAAACTATATGAAGTATGGTCCATTGGTCATTGAACTCCAAAGCAACAAAAACTGATTAAAACAAAAGTTCCCCAAAATGCCGAGAAAAAATAGCAAAAAAGCTAAAATATAAACAGATCGTCTGAGCAAGCTAAAAAAAAAAAAAACAGAATAGAGCTTCATCAATATCACCAAAAAAATTAAAATAAAACAGATAAACAAATCAAATAAAAATGAAAAGGACATAGGGTTTCAAAGTTCAAACCACAAACAAGTATTAGTGATCTTCACATAGGTGAAATCCGAGAGTTCGGTAAAAGGAAGAATCAGAGATAACTCTTTGCAAAACTGCAAAACACATACAACAGAATTGTGAGGATTGTGATGTTACCTGAGCAGGAAGGACCTGACCACCAGTGAAAAACTTAATTGCAGAGTACACATACAGAAATCCAGCTGGATAGACCAAAGGTCCTGTATCTCCCTTAAGATTGCCGTAGTCCCTCTCCCCACCCAAAAACCCAGCAACCTGTGCTTAAAGACAATAGAGACACACCAAAAATTGAACAACTAACAATAAAAAATAAATCTAAAGAAAAAGCATCCTATCATCAATGTGATGAGAATGATATGATATCCCAATACCTGTGACATGTAGGCATCCCAATCGATCTTAGTATCTGATTCAGCAATAAGGAACCCAAAATCCAGTAAGAACGTGATAATGACATGGAATAAAGAAAATGACCTCGTTAGTCTTACATGGGACGAAGTAAATGATTAATGCGACTAAGATAGCTTCGGTGAAAAGCAAGGCAAAAATCAAGGCTGCTGATTTTGAGATCCCGTAACTTTTACTATGTTCAGCCGACGATTTAGTCCCTAAGGACAAGCCTCGCGCCATGGATCAGAGCAGTGACGTTTCCTGCTTCCAACAATCGAAAATTTGCAAAAGCTATTAAAACTCGATAATTATGTTCTTCTGCATAACAAATCAAAGAGACCATCTTACCGGGTCAATAAAGAAATAGAAAGGGCGAAGAGGAGAAGTCAAGGATGTGTAAGGAAAATGAAAGTGCTTCGGAAGGTAATGTGACCGACTCTCGCCGGATCATCCCGTAGTTCTCCGTACGTCGACTGAAATGCCAATGAGGCGATTACATCAATATTTCGCCGATATGTGAGCGACAGAGGTCGCCCATTGAACCTAAAAGACTGTGGACAAGCATACTGTGCTCTATTAGGGAAAGTTTTCTGTCTTACCTAAAAGACTGTGGACAAGCATACTGTGCTCTATCAGGTAAAGTTTTGTGTCTTATACGCGGACTCCATGTACATGATCCATTTTATTATTTGGGCCTCATGGAAGAAAAACTCATATATTTTACATTAATAGTCCAAAAATAATTTTAAAATAACATTCACGATATTTTTTCAGATTTATTGAAGAAAAATCCATACATTCCATTTCAATAACCCCGAAATAATATTATGGAGGTTATTTTGAGGTTAATGCACAGTCCGTGGTTCCACTTTAATATTTTTTTAGATGGGTCGGATGTAACACACATAGCGGTATATTACTGTGAGCCCGCACATAGAGTCATGTCCGAAGTGACATAATTTTTTTTTCTCGAGTGAGTTAAAAAATGATGGTGTCAATAATCAAATTTTTTATCTATAAAAATTTTGAGGTCAATACCCTATTTTATTCTGTGTAAAAAAATATTAAAATAGTAGCTAATGACAAAAAAAAAACATATAATAAAATAAAATAACTAATAATTAGATAAAACATGGTTAAAAATGATATTAATAACATTCAAAAAACATAATGACTAACGTTGGAAAAATTATTTGGTGTGGATAAAATATGTGTGAAAGACGTGAATTACATTGTATTATTAGTTGTATTGGTTGTATTAATACAACAAATTATTTGTTGTATTATTACAACTAGTACAACAAAATTTGCATGTGCGAACTCCACACCTAATAATTGCTCTGGACGGTGACCACAACAGCCTTCTAATACCATCCAAAGTGCAATGTGCAAAATAGTCTTCAATGCTAAGTTTGATATGTATAGATTGATTCCACAATTATTCAACTGCAGCGCTTAATCAAAACTAAAAAGCACTTGAAAGGATGAACTAACAAGTCGATGATCAAAATAAACGAATCAAGATTCCGTCAAATAGGTTGATAAGAGACAATAAAAAGAGGAAAATGAACCAATCCTAAGCTCAGAAACGCATGTGACAAAAACAAGATAACTCACTCCATGATATAGGAAATGATAGCACAAGAATAAATATAATATAAGTAATGAAAGCCATATTAGATGACTCCACGTATAGTATCTAAAGTCTCTTTTTTGGAAATAAAATTTAACTACAAATTAAACCAATTGTTGCTACTGTCATTAACAAGGTAAACATGAAAAGCCGATTCCAACTTCAAAGATTATATAAGATACAAATAGTATACGAAATCCCCTTTTTAAATTTTCAACATCTACTTTTCTCCTTTAAGATTTAATGAATATTTTGAGTTAAAATCTCTAAGGAGGAGGAAGAGTTATCGAAAACGTTGTTATTCCTTTCAAGCTAAATGCAATGTCTTGACTCGGGCGGCCAACAGAAAAAAAATTTCGATGATCAAAATAAAAGAATCAAGATTCCGTCAAATAGGTTGATAAGAGACAATAAAAAGAGGAAAATGAAGCAATCCTAAGCTCAAAAACGCATGTGACAAAAACAAGATAACTCACTCCATGATATACAAAATCCCCTTTTTAAATTTTCAACATTTACTTTTCTCCTTTAAGCTTTAATGAATATTTTGAGTTAAACTCTCTAAGGAGGAGGAAGAGTTATCGAAAAAGTTGTTATTCCTTTCAAGCTAAAAGCAATGTCTTGACTCGGGCGGCCAATAGAAAAAAAATTTTTATAAATTTTCAAGAAAAAGTCTCTAGATGAAAAGGAACTTGAGACATACTTCCAATCATCATGAAAAATTTTCCACCATGAATGTAACTCTTAAGCAAATTGTGAGAGAAGCAATGAACAAAATAAAGATAGCCGTAAGATTCCTTCCCATAAAAATAGAGAACACAAAAAGTATTTACTATGACGCATCTAGCATAGAGCACATTCTTAGTTTTCAATGCATTATAAAAAAATTTCCAGAATGCAATACAAATTTGATAGAAAAGCCCTCAAAACAAATAAATTTGCTCCAATCATAGTTAGTAATGTTATCAAACAGTGAGATATAAGTGAGTTCATGAGAGTAATGATTGAGTGCCCTCCAACAACAACTATTTGTGCCATCCACTACAGGACTATTCGAAGTCATTTGAAGACAATGATATGACATTAACATGTGATTCTAAGAAAACAAACTACCATTATGCAAAAGGTCACACGACTTCTTGTGTCTGAGATAGTCAAACCATTGTAAAACAACATCACCAAATGTCTCATAAAGAGAATATTCATTCAGCCTTTGGTAGTAACTTGAAAAGATAACATGCTCCTAATTCTCACGACCACATTTTTGAGATCCTTCTAAAAATAAGAAAAGTTGAATCTTGGTTTATGCCATATAGAACCATGATGGTTATCATACCATTTAGCCAAATAAGAAGTAAAGTTGTAATGTCTCAAGATCAGTTTTAGATTTAAAAAGAAATTTGATAATATCAAGAGAAGGATTACCAAGGACATCTTTAGATTTAAGCCAAGAAGAAGTTTTCCATGTTATGGTAGACATCTTCTTTCCCACACTATTCGACGCAAAAAGTTAATGTTCGTCAAAAAGATTGACTTCGTAATCTCTTTAAGAAGAGTAATAGAACGACGCTAAAAATATGGGTAACTCCAAATTATGGATTCAATTAAATGGAGACTACCCATATTAACTAGAGCTTTCATTTTCAATCTGAAAAGCCAAGAGTACACCTTATCAATGAGCTAATGATAGTTGAATGCAAGGATTTTGGAAGGTTTTATAACAACACCCATGTAATCCTACGGTAAGGTCTTATATTCAAAACCATTCAAAAAACATAGATGATGGTGCAAATCTTAGTTAACAACTTTTGAAAAGCATATAGCTGATTTGGAAACATTAGCACTAAGGTTAGAAGCTCGATTGAACATAAGAAGAATGCCCTTCAAATATTTAATGGAACTTATATCATTATTTCTAAAAATTATGAGATCATCATCATAAATGAGCTGAATAAAATCATCATTTCTTTTTAAACAGATTGAATCACCATAACCCAAATCATGAGAATTTAACAAAGAAGAGAGAGCATCCATTACACTTATAAAGAGATAAAAATACAAGGGGCATCATTGCGAAAAGCATATAGCTGATTTGGAAACATTAGCACTAAGGTTAGAAGCTCGATTGAACATAAGAAGAATGCCCTTCAAATATTTAATGGAACTTATATCATTATTTCTAAAAATTATGAGATCATCATCATAAATGAGCTGAATAAAATCATCATTTCTTTTTAAACAGATTGAATCACCATAACCCAAATCATGAGGATTTAACAAAGAAGAGAGAGCATCCATTACAATTATAAAGAGATAAAAATACAAGGGGCATCATTGCCTTGGACTAATGGAAGAGGCAAAATATCATTAATGTCACTATTACTAATAACAAAGAAATTAACATCAACCACACAAGCATAAATCTATTAGATAAAGATAATAGAAAACCCCAGTTGATTCATTCTATTAAAAATAAAATAACTATTAACTTTATCAAAAGCCTTTCCAAGCCAATTTTAGAACAAAATATTTATGTGAAACTCCAAGAATTAAAATACGTATAGAGCTCATTAGCGATAATGATATTATCAGTAATATCATGCTTTTTATGAAAGCAGTTTATACATGATGAATTATGTTGGGAAGAATAAACTTTAAGTAATCAACCAAAGATTTAAAAATAACCTCATAAATTATATTGCAAAGAGAGATATATCAGAAGTCAACAATAAACTTACCCCTTGTCTTCTTTGGAAGAATCGTGATGGCTAAATGTTTAATCCTATGAAGAAATTTAGCAGTGCTAAAAAAATACTTAACAACCTTAATATAAGCCTCCCCATTAATGTGACATGTATCTTTAAAGAACTTGGAGCTAAATCCAGGAGGGCCAGAAGACTTGTTGGAACAAATCAAAAAGAAAACAAACTCAATATCATACTTAGAGAAATTTAGAAAAAGAGCGGCAAAATTTGAAGCATTAAATTTCTTAGTCTTCTTTGGAAGAATCGTGATGGCTAAATGTTTAATCCTATGAAGAAATTTAGCAGTGCTAAAAAAATACTTAACAACCTTAATATAAGCCTCCCCATTAATGTGACATGTATCTTTAAAGAACTTGGAGCTAAATCCAGGAGGGCCAGAAGACTTGTTGGAACAAATCAAAAAGAAAACAAACTCAATATCATACTTAGAGAAATTTAGAAAAAGAGCGGCAAAATTTGAAGCATTAAATTTCTTAGTCTTCTTTGGAAGAATCGTGATGGCTAAATGTTTAATCCTATGAAGAAATTTAGCAGTGCTAAAAAAATACTTAACAACCTTAATATAAGCCTCCCCATTAATGTGACATGTATCTTTAAAGAACTTGGAGCTAAATCCAGGAGGGCCAGAAGACTTGTTGGAACAAATCAAAAAGAAAACAAACTCAATATCATACTTAGAGAAATTTAGAAAAAGAGAAGCAAAATTTGAAGCATTAAATTTCTTATTGATAAAAAAAGAATCAAAAGAGCCATTATTATCATCAGAATCACAATTAAGCAGATTAGAATAAAAGGAGATAGCTTCCTTGCAATGTCCTCTTGAAGATAAATGTATCTATCATTAACAAATATTTTCTTGATAGATTTGATGGTGAAAAAAAAACAATTATAACTTTAGCTTTTGACCCTTTAAAATCAATGAAATCAAATTGACTAAGTGAGATAAACTAACCTTTGAAAATATTTTCAAATATTAACTATAGATGCTTGAGTTTTATTAACTCTTGACTAAACCCACTTTGACTAAGTAATTCATTGGACACATATGAACATTTTAAGCAAAATTGGCCAACTCGATCATATTAATTGGAATAAATGTCTTTAAATGACTTAACTAAACCCCTTAGAAGTAAAAAAGTTACATGTTTAACTTTTACTAAACTTCCTTTATGTGAACCCATGGT